GGATTGTTCTTCAGAGTATTCTAGTTTGCTTCAGGAAGTTGATGTTCTTTGATTCTTTAGCATGCAAGTTTTGTAGCATGTGATGCTTTCTTGTAAACTAGGGTCACCTTGTTTTGCTTTTAGTTTAAATATGTCTTGAGATCTTTGTGCTTTCCCCTTTCCTAAATTTTGTTCTGAATATCCATACGTTTGCGGCTGTTATGTTGGTTTGTTGAATCTCTTTTAAACTTGTATGTATTAACTTCTGTTATCATCAATGCATTCAACATTCGGTTGCTTAAGACGGTTGTTAAGTGTACTTTAATTTCTAGTACATAGGTTTCCAAGCATAACTTTTTTTCCAAATTCTTACTACTATTATAATCTAGAGGGGGGTGCATGCTTTCGTAACTTCACCATACACATAATGTACTGCATCACATATTCAATCATACAAAACAATATGGTATACACATAAGGCACTTACTAGCCATTAGAGGTTGCCTAAAGTGATGACCAAAGAGTGATAAATGTTAGAATTGGTATGAAGACAAAAAGACATTGTTGACGTGTTCATTTGGATTCTTTTAGGGCTATTTTGGGGTATCACCCGTAAGGGGCCTACTGGTTTCAGTTGCATTTAGGCAGGGTGAATCCTTAGCAAGCACCAGCCTGCCAGTCATCTTCTTTCAAAGCAAGCCTGAAGTTTGTGCTTGTGTTTGAACTTTTGTGTTTCTGTAAATTGCAGGAAATGTCAGCCCCTGTTATGGAGGGAAATGATGCAGTCACTGGTCACATTATTTCAACAACAATAGGTGGTAAAAATGGCGAACCCAAGCGGGTTAGTACTGGTTCCTTCTTCCATTCTTTACCCCCTTTGATCCATTTGATGGCTAAAACTGTGATCAAACCTTTCTTCATCCCATTTAATTCCTTTTATAGCACAAAAAGCTGTGCAGTTTTCTCATTCATAATCAAAGATTACATGACACAAGAGAGGATAAATTCTATATGAACACTGTTTTTGGTCAATTTTTTATTTCATGTTCATCAGAAAGAGGTTCTAACAGTTGAGGCTCTATGTGAACACTATAATTTCTGAAGAATTATTAAGTTTCCATTTATTTTTGTATTCTTAAGTGTACCTTTTGTTTTGATTACAGACGATCAGTTATATGGCAGAACGTGTTGTAGGTACTGGATCATTTGGAATCGTTTTTCAGGTATATATTTTACTCTAATGACAGCTAAGCGCTCTCACATTCTATTCATTATTTTAGGTCTCTGATGATTTTTTTTTAATTCAGGCTAAATGTATTGAAACTGGAGAAACGGTGGCCATAAAGAAGGTCTTACAGGACAGGAGGTATAAAAATCGTGAGTTGCAGTTGATGCGCTTGATGGATCATCCAAATGTTGTTTTGTTGAAGCATTGTTTCTTCTCTACAACGACTAAAGATGAGCTTTTCCTGAATTTGGTTATGGAGTATGTACCCGAGACTATGTACAGAGTTCTGAAGCACTACAGTAGTATGAACCAAAGGATGCCACTCCTCTATGTGAAACTTTATACATATCAAGTATGACTCATTGTTTGTTATGATGTTTTTTTTCCTTGTTAACTTCCTTTTTTTTTTCTTTTTTTTTTTTTTTTTTGTTGATAATCGTTTGTATTGACTTATGCCCTTGTAATAAATGGAAAAAATCCTTTTCAGATTTTTAGGGGCCTGGCTTATATCCATGCTGTTCCTGGGGTATGCCACAGGGATGTGAAGCCTCAAAATCTGTTGGTGCGTGCTCTTTGTTTATTTTTTATTTTCATTCTCCATTATGAATTAAAGTACTTATTCTATTTTCACATACACTCGGCAGGTTGATCCCCACACGCACCAAGTTAAGCTTTGTGACTTTGGAAGTGCAAAAGTTCTGGTATGGTGTCCTCCACATTATTTTCCACATAGTTCTGCTAGTCTGAATATTAGACTGGCCATACATCAGTCATCTATCTATCCAGCGGCTTCATGTTAATGCAGTTGGGAAGTTGCGAAAAAAAAAAAAAAAAAAAAAAAAAAACCAGTTTCCTTGTATAATTTATGTTTTAATTATTTTGGTTGTAATCAGGTCAAGGGGGAAGCAAACATATCATACATATGTTCTCGTTACTATCGGGCTCCTGAACTCATCTTTGGTGCGACAGAATATACATCATCCATTGACATCTGGTCAGCTGGTTGTGTCCTTGCTGAGCTCCTTCTAGGCCAGGTTATCTACTTCTTTGGGAATAAAGTTCTTATTCTTGGCCTAATTTAACTTTTGGGTTAAACTGTTTGTACTTTGGACTTATAAAAAAAATTCAAACAATTCTACAGCCACTATTTCCAGGAGAGAATGCAGTGGACCAACTTGTGGAGATTATCAAGGTCATGCCGTTAACTCTGTTGAATTAAATAAATCATGCAAGTGTGTGTTCTTACTATTTGTGTGTCTTCTTGCAGGTTCTTGGCACTCCAACTAGAGAAGAGATTCGATGCATGAATCCGAATTACACAGATTTTAGGTTCCCTCAGATCAAAGCTCATCCTTGGCATAAGGTATGAATTTAGATAACCCTTCGAATAAGTTGATTGTTAAGGCAATGCTTGTAGAGGAAAATGCTAGAATGCTGTGAAGACATACATATACATGTATCTAAGTTCTGGACATGGTGAAATCTTTTGTTCAAAATTTGAGTTAGCCATTATTGTCTGGTAGCATAAGGTGACTGGGAGGGTTAAGTAAGCTAAATTAGTTTTGGGAGTATGGTGTTAGCTGGACTTTGGTTGGTTTTGCGGGAACAAAATAGAAGAATCTTGAAATTTATGAAGGAATGGGTATGGAGTAACCATGGGAAAAAATTTGTTACTGGTCCTCTTTTTGGGCTTCAGTTGTGATGGAATTCAAGGAGCTTTTGTTTCGTTCTGTTTTATTCTTATAGTTGTTTATTTCTTGGGTATGTGGTATAGTAGCAATTTAGAGTTTTTAGTTTCATCTCTGTTGCTGTGAACTACTGCTCCACAAAATGTAATTTCCTCAAGTAAAATTTTGTTTATGTGGTTCCTTCCTTTTATCCTTGTGTTGTCCATAGTGCTGACTCTGCTGACTAATAAAATTATTAATTATTATGCTATGATTGTAGGGATTTAATTACTGTTATCTGTGGGATTATTTTCTTTTTGCATCCATCCTAAAGTTTGCATATGTGACAATGCTCCTCTATTCAGGTTTTCCACAAGAGAATGCCGCCAGAAGCAATTGACCTTGCTTCACGACTACTTCAATATTCACCGAGTCTACGCTGCACTGCGGTGAGTTGGACTTCTATTCACATGGAGTTCTACTGTTTTCAAAACGAAGACATCATGCCTTCACATTGATGTGGTTTTGAATAAAGATTTAAGAGAGTTCCCTCTATATGGCATCTTCCATTTTTGTGCTGAGTTGCAGCTTTTGCACTCAGCTGTAGCATTTGAAAGATTTATCGGTCGATTTTGAGTTGCTTCACTCCATTACATGTTCTAATGTCTGAATTCTCACTGATTGTCCAATTACAGCTAGAGGCATGCACGCATCCTTTCTTTGACGATCTTCGTGAGCCCAATGCTCGCCTACCAAATGGTCGCCCGTTGCCGCCGCTTTTCAACTTCAAACAAGAAGTGAGTCCCATATTCATTTACTTTCTACCTGTTAATGACATATTGAAAATATTCATTGCTTGTTGAAAATATTCTGGGCCTTTCAACACTTGAACGTGTTGAACTTCTTTGAATTTTAGTAACGTGAAGGTGAAGTAGCAACCATTTCCCTAGGTTTAGATGGGATGCATAATCTGAAAGAATTAGAGTAGGGGACATCTAAGTGGTTGTAAATTCGTAAGGCACCAACTCTATGAACATACTTTGACACATCCATAAATATAAATAATATATACATATATATATATATATATGTCTTGTCTTGTCTTTTCATTACCATCCACAAGTTCAAATGAAAATTTTCCGTCTTTCTTAGCAATCATATTTTCACATTTTATACTCCTGCAAGTGTTGATTGATTCATTCCTCCCACCGGCTCCAAAATTGAGTTGCAGTTAAACGGAGTGTCACCAGAACTGATCAAAAGGCTCATACCAGAGCATGTGCGGCAGCAGGCTGGACTTGGATTCCCACACCCAGTCGGTACTTAAATATAAAGTGATGAAACAAGGAATTATCTTTTGTACTAGTGGATGGATGTGAAGCAAATGAGGGCCTCTTTGTGGTCTATATATAACTGAGCATTTTGGCCTAACCTGCTGTTCTCGCCTCCCGAAGATTTATACATATACTGGCTCTCCGGCTTAGCCTGGAAATTGTTGGCCCTATCTACCGTCATTTTAGCTGTCTTCCTCCGTCTGTACATCATTTTTGAGTGTTAAGGATTCCAGAAAGCCAAATGTACAAGGTATTGCTGTTCAAATCTAGCTAGTAGGGGGTGTAAAAAGTCCAGCAGGAGCCCGAGGGGCGTAATAGTAGCGGCGTGTCTTTTACTTTTGATCATCGTATGTTATTTCTACTGTCTGTTTGCGGTATCATCGTACATTTTATCTTTGCTATTGTTGATCACTGTCTGTTTCAATGTTGCACTTTCCGGATAATTTCTAATGTAGCTGAATATTCTTGCTTAGTATTTTTCTACTCAGTTAATTTTCCTTGAGGACGTAATATTACTCCCAGAACATTGATTTTATTTCAAACTTGAGGTAAAACCAAATCACAAATTTTGCCTCTCAATGTGCATGGCATATCCAAAAAAGTCAATAGGTGTGCAAAAATTCAATGATTTGAACCTAATGAGAACCTAAACGTAATGTTCAACAATTTTACGATTTGAACAGTCTATATTTTAAGGGCCAACCTTGCAAAAAAAAAAAAAGACCAAAAAAAGGGTTCATTACATGATAAAGTTAGAATGAAGGTTCGGTTTTTATTATTGTCTCTCTTCAACGGTTCAGATTTCCAGATCTATGAACTCCAAACACAAAAATCCTAAAAGGATCTCGACTCGTGTCAACTTGTTAAGGAAGGGAATTGTGTCCAACACGACCAGACCGAAAAACACCCGTTTGCCAAGTCTGTCCCTAAAACATGAGTTAAAAACAAAACTGGTTTGGATCCAGGTTGACCCGACCCGCACCATTACTGGTAAGAAAACCGAATAAAAGGACATTCGGATCCCACTTCGAAATTCCTAGCAGCCTGCAAAAATAGGCGCTTTTTTTGCACTGCTTCCCTTTCAACCGCTTCACTTAGTTTACAGTGGCTAACCGTTACGCAGCTCAGCTGCAGCTATGCTGCCCACAAAGCCCCACCTCTCACTCTTTGGCTCGAACCATCCACGCCCACATGATCGCTTCTGGGTTCAGTCCACGTGGCCATATTCTTAACCGTTTGATTGATATTTACTGCAAATCTTCAAATATTAGGTACGCCCGCCAACTGTTTGATAAAATTCCCAAACCAGACATTGTTGCTCGAACAACCTTGGTTAAGGCATACTCTGTCATTGGAAATCTGATGCTGGCCCGTAAAATATTCGATGAAACCCCTTTGAGCATGCGAGACACTGTTTCTTACAATGCCATGATCACTGGCTATTCCCATAACAACGATGGATATGCTGCTGTTAGTCTGTTTTGCGACATGAGGCGAGGGGATATTAGGCCTGACGATTTCACCTTCACGTGTGTTCTTAGTGCTTCGGCGCAGATAGTGGATGACGAGAATCAGTGCAAGCAACTGCATTGTGGAATAGTTAAGTCTGGAACGGCGTTTGCCACTTCGGTGTGGAATGCGCTATTATCTGTTTATGTTAAATGTGCTTCCTCGCCATTGGTATCATCGTCATCGTTGATGAGGGAAGCTAGGAAATTGTTCGATGAGATGCCTAAGAGAGATGAACTGTCGTGGACGACAATGATTACCGGGTACGTAAGGAATGAGGACCTTGATGCAGCTCGTGAGTTGCTGGACGGGATGGATGAAAAGTTGGAAGTTGCATGGAATGCCATGATTTCAGGTTATGTGCGTCATGATTCTTTCCAAGAAGCATTGTTGTTGTTTAGGAAAATGCGTTTGCTGGGGATTCGTCAGGATGAGTTTACATACACAAGTGTTATCAGTGCTTGTGCTAATATTGGATTATTTCAGTTGGGGAAGCAGGTGCATGCTTACATACTAAGAACCGAAGCAAAGCCCACTCTGGATTTTTCATTATCTGTGAACAATGCATTGATTACACTATATTATAAATGCGGTAAACTTGATGAAGCACGATATATTTTTAATAATATGCCTGTTAGAGATCTTGTTTCTTGGAATGCAATACTGTCAGGGTATGTAAATGCAGGGCGCATCCAGGAAGCAAAATCCTTTTTCGAGGAAATGCCAGAGAGGAGCATTCTAACATGGACTGTGATAATATCTGGTTTAGCTCAAAACGGATTTGGAGAAGAGGCTATGAAGCTATTCAACCAAATGAGATTAGAGGGTTGTGAACCATGTGATTATGCATTTGCTGGAGCTATTACTTCTTGTGCTGCACTGGGAGCATTGAAGCATGGACGCCAGCTCCACGCTCAACTGATTAGGTTGGGGCATGATTCAAGCCTTTCAGCTGCAAATGCACTTATCACGATGTATGGCAGATGCGGAGTTGTTGAGGATGCAAACACTCTGTTCCTCACGATGTCTTATATTGATTCAGTGTCTTGGAATGCTATGATTGCAGCTCTCGCACAGCATGGATATGGTGTCCAAGCAATAGGACTTTTTGAGCAAATGTTGAAGGAGGATATGCTACCAGATAGAGTAACTTTCCTCATCATTCTCTCAGCTTGTAGTCATGCTGGTTTAGTCAAAGAAGGGCGCCATTATTTTAGTTCAATGCGTGATTCTTATGGTATTAGCCCCGATGAAGAACATTATGCTCGCATGATTGATCTGTTCTGTCGGTGCGGGGAGTTCACAGAAGCCAAGGACTTGATTGAATCAATGCCTTTTGAGCCAGGTGCACCGATATGGGAGGCTCTTCTTGCTGGTTGCAAGACTCATGGGAATCTGGATTTAGGAATCCAAGCTGCAGAACGACTCTTGGAGTTGGTGCCACAGCATGATGGAACCTACGTACTGTTGTCAAACTTGTATGCCACCGCAGGCTATTGGGATGATGTGGCTAAGGTACGGAAACTAATGAGAGATAGAGGGGTTAAGAAAGAGCCTGGTTGTAGTTGGATTGACGTTGAAAACATGGTCCACGTCTTCTTGGTTGATGACACAAAGCACCCTGAGGTGCAAGCAGTGTACAAGTATCTGGAGCAACTAGGACTTGAAATGAGGAAGTTAGGATATGTACCGGACACAAATTATGTGTTGCATGATATGGAGTCTGAGCATAAGGAGTATGCCATTTCCACTCACAGTGAGAAGCTTGCGGTTGCATTTGGGCTCATGAAGCTTCCTCCTGGACACACAATCAGAGTTTTTAAGAATCTTAGGATTTGTGGGGATTGCCATAATGCATTTAAGTTTATATCAAGAGTGGTGGGGAGAGAAATAATTGTGAGAGATGGGAAGAGGTTTCATCATTTCAGGGATGGTGAATGCTCTTGTGGCAATTACTGGTAGCCAGGAGTGAAAGCTTGATGGGGAGAGGATTCATATATACGAGGCAGTTGATCTCTTCACCCACCAGCTTAAGCTTTGTGACCCCGGATGTGCAAAAGTTCTGGTATGTTTATCCTTTTGTCATGCTTTTTTATTCAGTTATGTCATTACACTGTATTTAGAACTTTGGTAGCAGAATGACCAGCTGCAGTTTCTTTCATGATCGTTGAATGTTTACTTCCTAAGAAAATCCGTTTCCTTGTATGATTTTAGTGATTTTCTTTCTAATCAGGTCACGGGGGAGGCAAAGGTATCACACATATGTTCGCATTATTATCGGGCTCCTGATCTCATCTTTGATGCAACAGAATGTATACAAAATCCATTAATATCTGGTCAGTCGGTTGTGTCCTTGCTTCGACTTCTTTGATATTCAGGCTCCTGTGACAGATTATCAGCTTCTTTGACAGTAACATTCTTAGTCTTGGCCTAAGTTAACTTTTAGGTTAAAATATATATACATTTGGACTTCGATTCAAAATTCAAACTCTTCTGCAGACATTGCTTCCAGGAGGGAATGCAGTGGACCACCTTATAGAGATTATGAAGGTGAAACCTTTCTGTTTTGAATTGAGTGGATCATGTAAAAAGCGTATATTTACGGTTTGGGTGTCTTCTTGCAGAATGCAGGTCCTTGGCAATCCAACTAGAGAAGAAATTTGATGCATGAATCCGAACCTATGGTATAACATAGGATTCATTTATTTGTAATAATACCTCAGATATAACCTCATTGTTCACTTGTATTATAACACGTAGATCTGCAAAATTAGACCGCGATTGTGTATTCTGCAAGCAAAAGTCAGCGTTGCACCTTATATTCCTAACATAAAGAAATCATTTTTCTTTGGCAATGCCAATTTGAAACGGCAGCGTGTTAACAGACTACACTCCGCATTCCAATATTGCTGAAAGGGTACGAGCCATGTTTCTATGGTGACAGCCAATAGGCACCCCCATTTAATCACTATTGGATGACTCAGTAGTTGTAGTTGTGAGTTTAATTCTTAACGTTAGTGAATTACACGATGATGGTCATGGAAGGCTGAAATGCTTCAGAGTCTTGGCCCCTGAAAAAGAGAACTGACGTGACGAGACCACTAATTAATCCTCTTTATAAAGAGACAACAAAAAAAAAAAAAAAAAAAAAAAAAGACCTCACCATGTGACACGTTTTCAAGTTTTGATCTCAATTGTAAATTTCCTCGGTAGAAATTAGTCTCATTCTCCTAGACCCCATGGTCCAAGAAATTGTGATGACCCACCGTTCAATCTTAATCCCAACAGTGAAAGAGAGTATAACAAAAGTTAAATGACACTTTGGATGACCACAATTTCCTTGGACTGTAGAATCCAAGAGAACAATGGTAGAAATTATATGCAACCACAATTTCATTGCAGACATTATTACCCACCATTCAGATTTCAACTTGTCCATGCAAATATCGTAATCGTCTAAATCATCGTTGTACTTTATGATGATTTGATGCAACAAAATACTTCAAAACCTAATTTATTGCTGAAGCAAAACCCAGAGTATTTTACTACAAATTATCGGGATAAATGTCACTCTTCTTTTAGGACTACTTGTAGAGAGAACAGCTCGCCCTTGCAGAATCAAAAAATGGGGAACGAAACTGAAGAGAGCTCACCAATGGCGGTTGTAGTTTATTGATCCTTCCTTTTCTATCATAAGATGAGGACGACAAGCAAATCAATGTCTGATACAGTTCCTATGGTCCCTTGGGGACTTACTGACCTACGATTGAATTCTCTATGTTGATTTTGTGACTTCATGTATAGCATTTGCTAGATATCCAACATTGCCCGTTGTAACACCGGCCATGCTGCATGCACATGAATATCATACGTGAGAAATATCCAACAGCACTGCTTGTGTTTGTGTGTCTGCGTGAGTGTGTGTGGTGTGTGTGTGTGAGAGAGAGAGCGTACCTTATACGACCATTGCGAGTCATATAGATATGAAATTCATTTGTCAAGCGATCAACCTGTTCAGGTGTCATCCCGCTGTAGCAAAACATACCTATCTGTTTGCAAAAACCAGCAAGATCGTAAATAGCATAACTAGAAAACAAGCTGAAGACCCAAGGGGACCGAGCAACACAGATTGTATGTACCACAGACAAGGGACCCTTAATTAAATACATTTGCACAGAAAATACCAACAAAAAAGAAAGTGTTTTTTAACGTTAGGCCCGCGCCCTAAAATTTAGGTAATGTTTGTTTGACGATCATAATCAAACAACAAAAATATGATGATTAGACAGAATCTACGCACCTGATTTGTTATGTGCTCCCACGATAAGGGTGACCCCAGTTTCTCAAGATTTTCTCGTAGAGCAGTTCTCATTCCAATGATGCGATCTGCCATGCCCTGTAGAGAAGAATGATGGAGATAAAATTCAGAAGATAAAAGAAACAAAAATATGAAATACAAGTTTATCCTCAAATTCCCCAGTTCCAAGGAAAAAGAATATAATAGAACGAGTTTTTAGGGTAGAATCACGCAATTTATGTAGTCTCAGAGGATAAATAGAAAACATCTTTGCACTCCTAGGACAATGAGGCCTAGCCCAAAGTTGGCCAGCTAATCCATAACAAAATTTCTTATAGGAGGTGCAAACCAGCCAACATCCGTCATTGGAAGTTGAAACACTAAAACAAACGTGTCGGATGTACTTCATAAATATAAAAATGTTTGTCCCCAGGTGTGTACTCTGTTCACTTTACTTCTACTTTTCCAGCTAAAAGCATAAGTTAGTTATAGCATATCACCTTAAAAGAATGAAGTTCATCACAGAAATGGTAAACACAAGAAGCCTATATATGATGATCAAGTTTTTAAAGAAGTTCTACAGTTCACCATTCAATTCTCCATATTTCAGCTAGTACTTATTTTTAAACTAATGACCTGAAGAGAATTTTGAACTTAACAGAAACAATTTAACATATAGGAGGCTCCGCATGTCGATTTCATGATGAACATACTCGTACTTCGGGTAGCATGTTATACGGAACTAGAGAATACACTAATCAACTTACAGACCTCACTCTTTAACGTATATTTCATGTTCAACGTTAGCTTTGAAACAAAGCTTTTCATGCAGTATCAAAAGTATTTCATTAAAGCTATACATATGTACATAAACATAGATCCAAAGTCACTTTCAATTACTTTATACTTGGATATGCGCTCCTACTTGGTAGTTGGTTTGATCACATATCGGCATCTCCTTTATGGTAAAGAGTTGAAAATACGTCTATCCTACTCTAAAATGAGACTTAATGAGAAATTCTAACGATAACTTAGAAGTATAGGAACAGTTACTTACCTTAACTTCCTTCAGCCATAAAGTTTTCAATTCTTGATCACCAAGGATAGTTGAAACTATAAGCGCTCCATGAACAGGTGGGTTACTATACATGGGCCTGGCAAGCATCTGCAACTGGCTTTTTACTGCCACGGCTTGTTTTTCATCCTCACAAAGCATGCTGCAAACATAAAGAACATCAGCATAAAAGATGTACCGAAAGACCCCCTGCTTTCTTAGTATACTTCCATAACTTATAAGTAGAGTGGACATATAAGCCATGTGTACACTAGGTACCTAAAGTGCATTAGAAAATATGGCCATAATCCTACAAATGCTACTCCACAAGACTAGTCACTGTAATTTAAAGGAGAAAATAAAAATTCACATTGTCCATGAGTAAAGTTCAAACTACTTGCAATATGAAGAATGCTCGTTTATCATATATAACCTATGTTTCCTTCACAATGTTAAAGGCATGGACAGATATTCTGATGAAACCAGTGTCATATTAAGCAAAGTGATGTATGAGATTAATCATCGAGTTTTGATTGAAATACAACGGAAATTGACTATAATCAATTTAAGCATCAAATGTAAAGGTTGTACACAGTACTAAACATAAAGAATATGTCCTACTTCTATGTCATCCTATACACAATTTGCTAATTGATCACATAGTTAATATTCAGTCTTGTCTTGGATTATAGAGAGAACAGATGGAACAAAAGAAACAAGCAGCTGCTACTTTCATTAAGATTGCAGTAACAGCCACTAGGCAGTAGGATTAAAAGTACCAAATTAAATAGACAGTATTTAGAAATAGACAATTACCTAAGACATCCTACTCTCTGGCCATAGAGTCCCATGTTTTTGGCATATGATTGAGCAATTCCAATTAGATGACCATCCTCAAGGAAAATCCTGATGGCTTTTGCGTCTCTCTCTGGGTCACCACTAGCAAAGCCTTGATATGCCATGTCGAAGAAGGGGAAATGTCCCTTTTCCTGAATCAACCACAAAAATCAAAATAAGCAAAGGGAGAAGCAGAAGGTTATTAGAGGTAGAAGAAGAAAAAACTTTTAAAGAAAATATTCTGAGAAATTTACCTTGATCAGTTTTGAAATCTCTTTCCACTGTTCCTCTGAAGGATCCACTCCAGTGGGATTGTGAGCACAGGCATGAAGTAGAAAGAATGAGCCGTTTGGAGCATTCTGTACAATACCCCGTCGCAGAGGAAGGAACAGGGTGTCAATGAAGAGAATATACATATAGGGTAAAAAGTACATGCAAATTATATTTACCAGGAAGGATTAAAGCAGCAGAATTTTTAGAACAACATAGGTGGAATAATGTAAAAGTAAGATATGTTTCTTTCTACCTTTATGTCATCGACCAGTCCTGTAAAGTCCAACCCCTTCGTTTCTGGATGATAGTAACGGAATGTCTTTTGGGGGACGTGAGCATCTCTCCAGATGTTATGATGGCTGTTGATATTTCATTTTAAGAAGCGCCGCATCAGCAAATGCTAATAGTTAAAATGGAGAGGAGTGGGAAATTTTTAAGCAATAAAAGAAGTTCTAAACAATGCTCACTTGGCCCATGTTGGCACTGGTATATAGATTTGAGACTCGGGACGAAAACGCTTTTGAAAGTCTGCAAAAAGACGGCATGCACCCGTTCCAGAGAGAGCTTGCACTGCTGCTATCCTTTTATCTTTGATGTGCTCCGAATTCTCCCCATATGCTAGCTTCAATGTTTCTTCCACCTTCTTCACACTTCCCCCCATAGGAAGATACTCCCTGTTGAGAACAAACCAATCGTAAATCACTATACCTTAGTATAAGGAGAAGTTAAGAAGATAAGTGAACTTGCATAATAACAATGGAAAGTGTTTGGTCTTTAGTTCCTATTGTAATATGTAAAAGATGCATGTATTTGCGAGATTCCTGTCCTTACTTTCTACTTTGCGCAAAAGTTCCCACAGTAACTTATCTAGCACAAGTGCTTTTTGAATTATAAGGAGAGTAGCAGTTTAGGGTGTCTACGAACAGTAGATTGAATAACTCTATTCTACCTACTTATCTTCCCTCTATTCATAATTGTAAAAGGATTACATGTTCCTTTGCTACTGCTGCTAACAGACTTCTCCTACATTTCACATCCTATATAAACCCTTTCTTGTGTAGATTTTGATAAGGAAATTGTATACTAATCTTGAGATGTACAATTACAAGAAGATATATACATGAAGAAAGATTGAGGGTCAGCAACTAGAGCTGCACCATTCTGAAGACCCATAACATATGACAGCTATGATGGGTTAGTAAGGTCTAAGAACTATTACACCCCATACTTTGGTAAAGTGAAAACAGCTCGGTAAGGTAGTGGCTACAACTCTACGCTAGATAGGGTGGTAGTACCCATGCTTTAATCATCCAATAATGTAGCTGTGAGGGAAATGAAATCTCAATCCAAATCCAATTATTGAATACCAGACACAACATTACGAAACTCAAATAACAAAGTCACAATACA